GTTGTTCTTTCTCCTTTGCCTGCAATGGATGACTGACCGTTATCTCATATTAAAGGCCAAGAATAGATGAAACTTCCAAGCCCACTTAGCTACCCATCAATTCCATTTTAAATGCAGGGTTGCTATACAGTAGGACCTCCATCTCCATGGGATCAGTATTGTCAGTTTCACTTATCTGCAGTTTGCTACTGTGAACAACATATGAGGCTATTCCCTTCTGGCCTTTGTCCTGCTCCCTAAAATGTTGTATATAAGGGTTCCCTCATATCCACCGTTTCAGGCATCCACGGTAGATTGTGGAACCAGTCCTCCATGGATACGGTGGGTCTTTCTGTACTTATTTAACAGCCCTGGCACTTGCGTTTAAGCATGATTTAGTCATGAGGTCAGCCAGCTATTGTGGATGGAATGGAACACCACCTCCTTCTCTGCTTGTGTCAGCAACATGTCCCGGGCTGGCCCCGAGTCTATCAAATTGAGTGGCCTGATTATTGCATGGCCCCTACCTGCTATAATATTCTGGATAGCTTTCAGATGCTATCCGTGTGGTGTTATGTTCAGATAGCATTTGGAATAAAGCCTGCACCTTGACCAGTTTTATGCAAAATGAGACCTCTTCCATGCAGGTTACCAGAGAACAACGCTCAGCTTTTCCTTGTGTGGGCTTTGTTGTTCTTCATGCAAAATTTGAATGGAGGGCGTGGTGCAGAATGCGCATTGTTGTGCTTATCATCTCCCGGTGTTGTAGCAGCAGCCAGCCAGACTTCGACACTGAGCCCCGCCTTTCCTGTGTTGGCAGATCAAAAGTGGAGGCATGTAAGGGCTGACTTTGCTTTTCTGAGGCATAAAACCTCTGCTGGGAGAAGGGAATCGTGTGACCCAGAAATAAATGCTTTTTTCAAAGGCATCCGACAAGGCACAACTTCTAAGTAGCCAGCAGCTGACTGGTTATAATCAGCACCTGAAGTCTGGTATTTTAACTCCAGAAATGTCAGGGCTAACACCAATGGGAATGTTAGCCTTTGTATTTCCATCGTAGGGTGGGGTTGGGGCAATGCATGTTAACTCTGTCTGATTGCACTGTGGAACAAAGACCAACGATGCCAGTTTCTCACACAAGGTCTGTTTATGTGTTGCGTGTCCCGCACGAGCACTTCAATTAACTTGCAAAACACCGTATGGGCGACATACCTTAGAGCTTGTGCTTCAGTCTTCTTTGTGGGTCAAATAAGGAAATGTCTTCAAGATCTACAGACTGGCTTTCCTTTGTCAGTGAAGGTAAGGTTCTCTTCCCTTCCAAGAGGATTGAGTGGCGGGGAGTGTCAGAGTGTATCATGCCCTGGTAAAACATTGACACTCAGGCACTCATTGTGACAGCCACACATCCCAGAAGAATCCTCAAATCCTGGCAGCTGTGGCAATCTATACCAACAAATCAATTCTACCAGTTTTCATCTCCCCAACGAGCAGGTCTTTTGTGAAGCTAATGGGTTTTAGTTGCCTATTCCAGACTGAGCTACCCATGAATATTTTGTATTAGAATGGAGGTAGGAGGATCACAGCATTGCTATTGCTGGACACACACACCCCCAATTTATTGTGAGAACTTCAGTTGAACAGTAGCTGGATTGCAGGTTAGAACATGGCAATTAAACTCTAGGAAATGAGGGTGTTTGTGAGACACAGGTTCTGTAATCACTCTGGAGAATCACAACACCATGGATACCCTGACTCCAATTGGCTGCTGTTCTCCCAGGAAGGTTGATTTTGGAAATTAAGTCTGTCTTGTTTAAGAAATTACACAGAATTAGCATCCACGGCAAATGGAGCAGGGGGAAAAAGCCTTTTCTGAACCACAAACTGCATTGGCAGCTCCTGTCCCTTGGTTAGGCCACTGTCATCCACTTCTCTCAGCTGGCCTCACGCTGCAACCTCTGACTGGGTAAGCAACGTCCCCCTTTATCATAGACAGCAATGACTCCTTTTGCTCTCCAGAAAGGTAACAAATGGAGCCATGTATAGGATTCTGGATAGTATAGCTATAATAGATGAGTGACTCAGAATAAGAATCTTCTCTGATTCGTCTGCCCTTAGAGCAGAAAAACAGGAATGCTTCTCCATTGAAAGAGCAGTCAGAATTATACCAGGCTTGTGCAGCATATACTCAAAATAGTATATCTGGTGTGTTCCTTCTGGCTGCCTATCATGGACTGGGATGTATCTGGGTTACACACTCAGTTACACACTTAGTTGAACATCCAAACATACAACAGATGGAAATTGTGAAAATGGTGCCATTCCCTTTATGCACCTGATATTTGACAGTAGAATTCTGGACATAATCTGTAAAATTTGGCAGAAATTCACTGTTATTTTCACCACCGAGTTGTACAAAGGCTTTGTTTATTAGGTGACAGGAATCCTTTCTGAATCCTTTCTGAAATCAACATCATTTAGGTGCACATGTCACAAAAAGCTCGAGGAATGATCAAATGAACTTGTATCAAAGGGTGTTATAGCGGGATGAAGGAGAAAGCAAGGGAGCACAGCTGTCTATCGTAACTGGTGACTGGAAGCAAAAGAGGACTGCATTCCGAGTGGTTTAATAATCATGGAGGAGGAAATTTCAGTGGTGTGATTTACATGAAAAAGTCCACCTGCTGACATTTCCTATTCTAGGAAACTGATAGGGTACAGGAACCCCATCCTCTTTTCATATACTTCCCCTAATTAAGATACTTCCAAAGGGTTAGCAAAGAAAATCCCTGAGAATGGGGATTTTAGCCTAGAGGTTGCAAAGCTAGCAACAAGCACATAAGCATACATTTAATTCAATTCTTCAAACAAAAATGAACAATCAATCAAACAAAAGCACCTCCTGGTTATGAATGTGGGCTATTGTGCTTCTGTATCCACCATTCAATATGCCAGGAAATCCAGCCCGATACTGCTGGATAATATCATGCCCACGTTGCCAGGAGGAAAAAGGAGGCCAACCTTTACCTAGCAAAGAGCAGCCTGGGTGTGGATCACACCAACAATGGCAGCTGTCAAGATGGTCTACAGCAGTGGTTCTCAAACTGGGGTCCCCAGATGTTCTTGGACTGCAATTCCCAGAAGCCTTCACGACTTGCTGTATTGGCTAGGATTTCTGGGAGTTGCAGTCCAAGAACATCTGGAGACCCAAGACTGAGAGCCACACTGGTCTATAACAGACCTGGGCAAAGTGCAGCCCTCTAGGTGTTGCTGAACTGCAAATCCCAATACTTCTCACTATTGGCCATGTGGGCTAGGATTGCTGGGAGTTGCAGTTCAGCAACATCTGGAAGGCCGCATTTTCCGCACTGGTCTATAGCAGACCTGGGCAAAGTGCAGCCCTCCAGATGTTGCTGAACTGCAAATCCCAATACTTCTCACTATTGGCTGTGTGGGCTAGGATTGCTGGAAGTTGCAGTTTGGCAACATCTGGAAGGCCACATTTTGCCCTGGTCTGGTCTATAGCAGTGGTCCCCAACCTTGGGCCTCCAGATGTTCTTGGACTACAACTCCCAGAAGCCTTCATCACCACCTCTGCTAGCCAGGATTTCTAGGAGTTCAAGTTTAAGAACATCTGGAGGCCCAAAGTTGGAGACCACTGGTCTATAGGATACCCTCTTGAGCTCACCAACATTAGCAAAGTAACACCAAGCAAGAGAAAATCCTAGAAACTGATTCCTTTTTTTAATCAGTGAACCACTTCTCACCTGAGCACAAAGTGACAGTTAGGGCTTTTTTTTTTTTTTTTTTTTTTTGCAGCTTCCTAAGGCCACACTTAACCTCATCAGCCACATAAATTCCAGGTTATCTTAGACAGCCCCGCTCCAGGGATCCACAATTGAATGCTGGTGGATTGAATAGAGCAGTGATCCCCAACCTTGGGTGACCCAGGAGTTCTTGGACTGCAGTTCCCAGAAAAACCGGCCAGCACAACTGGTGATGAAGGCTTCTGGGTACTACAGTCCAAGAACACCTGGGTTACCCAAGGTTAGGAACCACGACTGTAGACCATCTTGACTGCTGCCATTGGTGCTGTCAACCTTCAAGCTTCTCTTTGCTATCTAATGTTTGGCATCCCCTCCAACCTTGGGTGACCCAGGACTTCTTGGACTGCAGTTCCCAGAAAAACTGACCAGCACAACTGGTGATGAAGGCTTCTGGGTACTACAGTCCAAGAACACCTGGGTTACCCAAGGTTAGGAACCACGACTGTAGACCATCTTGACTGCTGCCATTGGTGCTGTCAACCTTCAAGCTTCTCTTTGCTATCTAAAGTTTGGCATCCGGTTTTCCTGCTGGCGAGATAGCTGATCTGGCTGCAGAGCCAGAGGTTCAGTTCCTCACTGTGCCTCCCAGCCAGCCCCTGTAACCCTGGGCAATCTACCCAGCTTCAGAACGCCCCTAGAAGAAGGGAACAGTAAGCCACTTCTAGGAACCTTGCACCTAAAAACGCATGAAGACGGTCACCACCAGTCAATTCTCACGTCATTCTAGTGGTTCTTCTGCGAACTATAGGTTCACAGAAGTGTAGAGAGCACAACATGAAACGCCGTAGTCTTCAAGGCGCCACAAGCCTCTTTGCCTGTTTTGCAAACAGACACACACCGCCCTCTCCTTGGCCATGCGTTCGGTTGGTGGTTGTCCAGCACCGCCTTGGACGCTCGGAGCGGGCGTTTGCCTCTTCCCTCGAGGGACGCGTGGGGGAGGACAGGCTCCCACGATCCCGCTTGGGTCGGAGGTGGAAAGCCCAGGCTGCTTCGCCCGTCTGAGCAAGCCTCCGGCTGACACCGCGGCCCGCGCCGGTGACCGTGAGAGATGTCCTCCAGATAGATCGGCGGCGAGGGAGCCGGGCGCCTTCCCACCTGGCCAGTCGGGCTCCATCCGAATGGGCGGGCGGGCAGGCGGGCGGGCGGGAGGAGCCAGCCCGGACGGCCTCTGGAAATTACCGATCAGGAACTCTGCGTGGGCAGCAGGAGTCACACCGATCGCTCGCGAACGGAGAGGGAGAGGCTGCGCGGCAGGCGAGCCCCGGGAGAGATCCGCGCACCCAAGAGGCGCTCGGGTAAGATCCGGCGAGAGATTATCTGAATCTAGCCCTCGCCCCAGCCCCAAGGTTGATCCGCCGGGAGGAGATCTTGTGGATCAGGCGCCGCGCTTCCCGGTGTTCTGTAAGCCACCCACTCGGGGGAAAAACGCTCCCTCCCACTGGGTGATATTTTCCCCCCGGCTGTTTCTGAACCGTCCCCTCCCGGCGCCGTTTAGGGACACGAATTTTGAAACTTTGTTTTTGTTTTTTTTACCTGGGAAAGGCGGAGAGCGAAAAACGCGCCCGGAGAAGGTTCAGAAGAAGGGACTTGAAACGACACGCTTGGTGGAAGGTTGTTGTGGATCTCAGAAGCCTGTCGATTTCTAAACCAGTGCTTTCAAGAAAACGTCCTCGGTTTCATGGAATCTATTCAAAGCCAGGGCAGGTACTGTAGATCAATGTAAGGCAGTGGATGATGCTGATGTAATTATGTACAGTATTTATTAGTTGTATACTCCTCCTTACTCTATCCTCGCAACAGCCCAGTGCGGTAAGACGGGTGACTAGCTGCCTGAAGTTTACCCAGTGAGGCTTTGTGAGGATTAGAATCTTGTACTCAAGCCATTATAACTTTCTTTGAATGGAGGGTGGCATTCAAATTTTTTACAGGTGAGCTAAAAATCGCCTGCACAGGTGAGCTAAAATCTGTATAGAGACAACAGGTTTTGATCTGGAAGACCATATCCCAGATTTCATATATTTTAATCATTCTGCCGCTTGTCAAGGGAACGCAAAGGATACACAGCCAATCAGTAAAAAAATTATTGTGTTTATATCAATGCAATAGTCTCAGTTTATATGATTATTGGGCATATACAGAGAGTCTATAATTTATCAAGGATTATTGTCTTTTCTGTTCATGGGGTTTTCTTGGCAAAGATATTGAAGTATCTTTGCCAAGGAAAGATACTCACTTGCCAATTCCTGCTCATTGGAAGGACAGATCCTGAAGCTGTGGCTCCAATACTTTGGCCATCTCATGAGAAGAGAAGACTCCCTGAAAAAGACCCTGATGTTGGGAAAGTGTGAGGGTAAGAGGAGAAGGGGACGACAGAGGACGAGATGGCTGGACAGTGTCATCAAAGCTTCCAACATGAATTTGACCCAACTCCGGGAGGCAGTGGAAGATAGGAGGGCCTGGCGTGCTCTGGTCCATGGGGTCACGAAGAGTCGGAAACGACTAAATGACTAAACAACTAAACAACAACATTGTCTTTTCATATAAAAGATCCTATGTTCTATTTCTAGGATATCCAGCTTAAAGGAACTTAGTTTGCAGTTCTGTGCTCCTTGGGAATAAGGATATCAAGTGGTACAACTCATTTCGAATTAAATGAGTGGGTCCTAGATAAAATCAAGCCTGAGCTCTTTCTAGGGAAAAAAAATGAAATCACACCTGTTGTATTTTGGGTGCATAATGAGATGACAAGACTCACTGGAGATGACAATAATGCTAGGAAAGGTTGAAGGTAGCAGGAAAAGAGGAAGACCAGTTATGAGGTGGATCGACTCCCTAAAGGAACTCACAGGCTTGAGGACAGGACATGTTGGAGGTCCCCAGCACTAGCTGTTCCCTGCTTATTGGCTGGCCAGTGTGCCATCATCACATTGCCTGCAATGTGTGCATTTGGGTCTGATGATAGTCCCCATCCTTACCTTTCATTCCATTCTAGGGGAATCATAAACTGTTGAATCATCTGTTGGTTGGTCAGACAAAGCAGCAGAAGTTGCTGCTGTTCTTGTTGTTTGGAATTCCAATCTGGTATTCCAGATGTAAAATTGCAAAAGAATTCCAATCTTTTAACTATATTCTTCAATGCAAATGTGACTTGCATTCTGTGCATGGTCTGTTGCTGTTTCCTGTCTGCAGCCTGAACATTTGTAATATTTTCCCGACATAAGCTGCTCTTTGCATTCTATTATGGAGAGGCTATTGGTAGTGGTGGTGGGAAGACTTTATCTATCTATCTATCTATCTATCTATCTATCTATCTATCTATCTATCTATCTATCTATCTATCTATCTATCTATCTATCTATCTGTCTATCTATCTGTCTGTCTGTCTGTCTGTCTGTCTGTCTGTCTGTCTGTCTGTCTGTCTGTCTGTCTGTCTGTCTGTCTGTCTGTCTGTCTGTCTGTCTGTCTGTCTGTCTGTCTGTCTGTCTGTCTGTCTGTCTGTCTGTCTGTCTGTCTGTCTGTCTGTCTGTCTGTCTGTCTGTCTGTCTGTCTGTCTGATTGATTGATTGATTTATATCCCGCCCATTTGGTATATTCTACCACTCTCTGCGGCTTACAACATATCATAAAGAATTAAAAAACATAAAACATTGGCATACAACAGTAACAAATAGTGCAGGAATATAATAAATAATAAATAGCAAAGCAAAAGAAATCAGAAATTGGCAGGAGGGAAGGCCTGGGTGTACATCCATGTTTTCAGCTGGCTTTTGAAAGTACCCAGCATAGGGGCCTCGTGAATCTCCGGAGAGAGGTTGTTCCAAAGGCGAGGAGCCACCGCCGAGAAGGCCCGGTTTCGTGTCTTTTCCCTCCGGGCCTTCCTCGGCGTCAGGCTCCTCAGCCTGACCTCCTGACTCGCGCGGGGGATCGAGTAGATCTTGGTGGGGGCAGGCACTCCGCCAAGTATCGAGGTCCTAAACCGTTTACATGCAGTACAGTATGTGTGTGTGTGTGTGTGTGTGTGTTTTCTATTGGGGAGACAGCTCGGGTACATATTCTTGTATAGAGAAAGCTCCAGATTCGGTCCCTGGCATCTTCAAATAGAAATGGAGAAGAACAGACCGAAATGCTGATGATGGTGTGTTAGTTGTTATATATAGTATTGAGGGTTCTTGTTAGACAAAATTGGATTTCCAACAGTTTTTCCCTTGACTGGTTGCAAAGGAATGTTGCATTCACCCAGATGTTCATCCAGATGTTCCCTTTTAAAAGTCACTGCTCCTGTCTTTTACAAAACACTTCTTTTTAGGAAATCTTTAAGAAATCTTTTTTTAAATCATTAAGAAATAGAGCTTCTTTTCTGGAGTTTGCTTTGCTTGTTTGTTTGAGCACTGATTGAAAACTTCCGACTAGGATGTTGCGTATACGAGACATCAACTTCAGATGGGAAGCACCTCAGTGGTAAACTCTGTCCCTCAGAACAAAGCAATATTAAAAATAAATGATATTTCAGGATAGGCAAAAAGGTACAGGAAGTCATGAAGAAAGTCACTGCCCTAAGTGAGACAAGAGGAATGTCATGCGGATGGTGGAAAATATACTGATAATATCTGTGCTGAGCCTGCTGCATTAAGGAGAACAAGTGCTCCACCTAGAAGAGCCCTGATTCAGAGGGACCGATTCTGCAGAAGGCGGCTCTTTTTGTAGTAAACGTGTGCAGAATGATGCTCAGATTTGCAAGGCATACCCCAACAAGTACTTCTGTTGCAGAGGAAAAAACTTTAGTTATCCTTAACTTAGACTATGGAATCATGCTGCAGGGAAATGGCATAGTGTCTAAGACTGAAAGCTTACACCAATTTATTAGGTTAAGCATCCACTGAATTCTGTGGGAGTTATTTCTGAATAAACATGCCCAGGAATGTGTTGCATAACCAAGACCCAGAAAGTGGTTAGTTCCAAATTTGTCCAACTGCTATCGACTCACTTGGTAATTCACTAGTCCTTGTAAAACATGCAGGGGCCTTCCTGTCAGGGTTGTTGTTCGAAGCAGCTAGAAGTTCTTTGAACATTTAAATGGCCTAATAGAGATATTATATGTTCCAACATACAGTATGTGTGCATATGTGAGTGTGTGGATACATGCTCATTGTATATGTGGCTGAAATCCTGTTGCTTAATGTAGTAAGTTCCAGTAGAGTAGGCATATTTGAATCAATGGAACTTATGAAGGAGATGACACACCAAATCCCCATTCATTCAGTGGGCTTACTCCAGTGCCGTTTACTACCTTAAGCAACAGGATTTCAGTAAGATGTCTTACCATTTGTGCTTGGGTAAGTATCATAAGTTCCTTTTGGGTAGTGCACAAAATGTCATTATTGTCCCATCTACAACTCTTCCTGTTTAGTGGCATGTTTGTACACTTTATTGGGATAATTTTTTAAAAGTTGTTTCCCAAAATCTTGAGAACACACTTCAATCCTTGAGCCCACCTCCCAAATGTAATTTATTGCAATCTGGCCTGCAGTTAACAGCAATAAATAGTGCTGACTGTGTTAATATAATGTCTTCCAGAATCACGTTCTTCTGTTTTCTGAAGAGAATGACTCTGTATCATTTTGGAAAACAGCCATGATCATTTTTTCACATTTGAAGTTCTTGTGATCCCGCCCTGAGCCCTGCTGGGATCAAAGTCCATTGGCTACCACTTATGCAGTAAGTATGTTGTATATTTGCTGAGACACTCCTATAAATAGGGGAGGTGACTACGTACTGGGTGGGATCACCTGGTTTGATTCTGACACGGAAACTAATTGAACAATGCAAAGGCCTTTGCACAATTGGGGTGGCATATTTTCCAGACTATGTTGGGTGGGATACAGACATGCTGACTGGATCACCTGGTTTGATCCTGACACAGAAGCTAATTGAACAATGCAAAGGCCTTTGCACGATTGGGGTGGCATATTTTCCAGACTATGTTTTAGCTTAATCTGAGGTGCACAGATTCTTACTGGGGATGGTAACTCAGCCAACTCTTCCAACCTAGCTAAGGGTGAGACAGACATGCTGACTGGATCACCTGGTTTGATCCTGACACAGAAGCTAATTGAACAATGCAAAGGCCTTTGCACGATTGGGGTGGCATATTTTCCAGACTATGTTTTAGCTTAATCTGAGGTGCACAGATTCTTACTGGGGATGGTAACTCAGCCAACTCTTCCAACCTAGCTAAGGGTGAGTCTCTTACTGGTCTGTGACTGACTGGGGATGGTAACTCAACCAACTCTTCCAACCTAGCTAAGGGTGAGTTTTGAGGGAGAGAGTTAAACATGCTCCATTTGATCCGTTTCTAATACCCAAGGTCAGTTGGAGCAAATCTGCACTTGGTTTTAGCTTTTTACCCCAGGTGGATAAAAAGTAATTTTGATGGTATGCCTTATACACAAGCAGAAAGTTGGCTAAGGATTTTTTTTAAATCCCTTCAATCTTTTGAGGCTGGCTTAGGTCATCACAAACTATCCATATTTCATTCCCAGTACATTGCTAGTGTAATTAAGAAGCCAATCAAATCTGCTCACATTCTTACCTGGGCATTGGCACTAATGCTTGTGAAAATAATAATGTCATGCTTTGGCAAACTAATAAACTACCTGAACTCAATGAAGTAAAACCTGTTGCCCCAGGATAAATGTTTCTTGAATGTGTGCAAAAGAGTCAGAGCTAGGGCTAGGCCCTTTCTTGTTTGCAGTAGTTCCTTGTAAAAGGTGAGAAATACACACCAGAGATTTATTGCTGGGGTGTGGAACGTTCACCGCACCAGTTTATTTATTTATTTATTTATTTATTTATTTATTGATTTCAGCTCCCAGAAGCCCCAGCCAACATAGAATTATGGGAGCTGTAGTCTGAAGCATTTTAAGTGCCAGAAGGTTCCCACTGTAGGTTTAGTGGGATAGATGAGGGAGCAGAGGAGATGACCATTATTTTGCCAATGGGATGAATGGAAGATTCATCCCATTGGAATTTTTAGCATGTATACATTACTGAAACAGCAACGTCTACGTTGGCTTGGGCATATCGTGAGAATGGCCGTTGGTCGGATTCCAAAAGATCTCCTGTAAGGCCGTTGGCGTGGGCATATCGTGAGAATGGCCGTTGATCGGATTCCAAAAGATCTCCTGTAAGGAGAAGAGTGCAGAGAAATCGCCTCAAAGGGCGACCACAGCTGCGATACAAGGACATCTGCAAGCAGGATCTGTATATGCACATATAGGTAAAGGTAAAGGTTCCCCTTGACAATTTTTGTCCAGTCGGGTTCGACTCTAGGGGGCGGTGCTCATCCCCGTTTCCAAGCCATAGAGCCAGCGTTTGTCGGAAGACAATCTTCCGTGGTCACATGGCCAGTGCAACTTAGACACGGAACGCTGTTACCTTCCCACCGAAGTGGTCCCTATTTATCTACTTGCATTTGCATGCTTTCGAACGGCTAGGTTGGCGGGAGCTGGGACAAGCGACGGGCGCTCACTCCGTCACGTGGATTCGATCTTACGACTGCTTGGTCTTCTGACCCTGCAGCACAGGCTTCTGCGGTTTAGCCTGCAGCGCCACTACGTCCCTTCTATATGCACATATACCCGTGTTTAATTTATATTTACATATTTGTCTGATGGCCGTGCAGATTCATATTCTTGAGGATCTGCGCAGGACAAATTCAATATATAGTAGAGCTATTCCCAGTTCTCCCTTTGTGTTCTTAAGCTATTAAAGATGAGAGAAAAGAGGCGGCAACCTTGATTCAGCACAAACATGACTTAATACACATTGATGCAAATAAAGGCTCTTAGCACGTAAGCACCTGAAGTCCTGGATATGGATGGGTGGATCTGTCAGATTCCTGGGATTTTTCAAACCTCACATTGACTCAAATCTTGCTGTGTTGGTACAGAAACAACGTAACTTTTAGGAGTGGAGTGCTGTAAATTAAGAAATCTCTGTAGACCTGTATGTGTTGTACCCCAAGTCATGATACTTGGTAGTATGCTCCAGATAATGTTTATGGACATTATCTGGAGCATACTACCAAGCCTTTGTGAATACAATGTTTATGGAGTTTTCCTCCCCCATACCCCGAAATGAAGACGCAAGACAACAATTCTTTGGATTTAAATATGGGCCACACTTTATTAAACCAATTCAGATTCAACCAGTAAACCAATTCAAAAAGTGAGAGGGCCTGCGGTAGTGAGGGGAAATAACTGCATGGCATCCAATAATTCCTTATCAGTCAATGGGCAAGTCCCAGGCCCCAGGTTCCAGCTGTCTTAACGCCTGGAGAAACCCATCAGGCCTCAATTAAACACCCCGGACCTCAAGCCATCTGTATTTGATGACTGTCAGTCCGAAAGTGGCCCAGTGCATCAGCTGCCTCCGGCTCTGTAATCGCACGATCCGCAGAGCCGTAAGGACCAACGCGCTGTTGGTTTTATCATAATTATAAAAAGGACACACTGAGACAACCAGTTATTCCTGCACTACCCACCAGTGTGGCCGAGGATAAACTACCATCAAATGCCAACAACCCTTTTCCAGGGATAGGCGAAAAATCCCTCCATCCAAAAGCCAATCAGGATAGAGGTCAAAATTCCTATCCGGCCCCAAAAAGGTGACCCGAAAAACACACTAGAAAGAGGGTAGGCGGATGGGTGCCAAAAGTGAAAGAGAGCAAGCAACGGGCCGGCGCCTCCTTATATCGCTGCCGGCCCATGCCCTAAGTCACATGGCCCATTCGCTTACCTCTTCCAGGGCCAGGAGAGCAAAACCGGCTGCGCAGATCGAGGGCGCAACCGCACCCCTGCTGCGAGCGTAACCTTCTTAACTTATGCCATTTCAGTTCCAAAATATATGCTATTTGCATCACTGCACAAACGATTTCAGCCATTCGTTCCATTCTAGGTATTCATAAATTTGCAGAAAAATAAAATGACATGACGTTCTTATGTAGCCCTACTTCCAAGAGAGTGCGTTTAGGGTCAGACTTAAAACACTAGTGCTTTGAAGAGGCACCAGCTTAGTTCTCAGTGAGGTGGCAAACTTGTATGAAATTGGACCCACATCACACTGGTGGTTGACTACAGCTCTGAAGAAAAAAAGAGTTAGCCTTTCATTGTAGAGATGTTCCGATGGCTCAGTTACTTTGGTTGCTGTTTTCTGTGCTTCTTTGTCATCACCAAAAAGCCATGCAGTTAATGAGCTGTGGCAACATCCTCAATATAGTTAATAACCTCATAATATTCTCTAGTGTGGTTTTATTTGAAATCTTTCTTTTCTTAATAATCTGAAGCATGAAACTTGCTATCTTTCCAGCTATCGCTGTGAGTCAGCATTTTCCCTGAACTCAGCAAAACTTAGCCTTGAAAGAACAATTGTCTTTGAATGTGGTTATGCCTCTTTAAAGCCGTTTAAGCCATTGGCTCTAAGCACACCCAGGCACTTTCTGTTGTGGAACAAACACTCAAAACTCCTCATGAACATTGTACTGCGTCAACTGAGTGAATCATTCTTCCAGACAAGCAAGACAGGTTCCTTCCTGACTGGAATCAGCAGTGACAGCATTGTTTGGGTGACAGTTGTCTTCTTATGTCTTGCATGCCTCATCAGAGGGAACGCAAGTCATGGATTAAGCATGAAGATGACTCAAGAGTGTCATCCTGTTGGTGGTGACAACTGTCAACTGGGAATAATAAGCAAAGCTGAACTCAAAGTATCCAGAGGGGATTGTATTTAGGTAGCCCTAAGAGGAGCTGTGGGCTGTCAAGTTGATTCCAGCTGACAGCAACCCTTCTCAGGGTTTTCTTGATATAAAGTATTCAGAAGTGGTTTACCAGTCCTTTCTTCTGGGAGTGATGTGAGGCCGTGTAACCTCTCCACCTTACCCTTTCTACTTGTACTCATGATACATTAAAAAAATTGACAAGTGAAGCTGATACCTTCATGGGATAGATTATGCCTTGGGCATCAGGCAGAGTGAGGTAGCTGCCTCATACAGCAGATCTGAGGCATTGTGGGAAGAGAGTAAATTATTAATTCTTTAGAGGTGGTTGTAGATTTTTCGGGCTGTTTGGCCATGTTCCGAAGGTTTTTCTTCCTAACGTTTCGCCAGTCTCTGTGGCCAGCATCGTCAAAGGACAGGAGTAAACCTACAACAACCATCAGGTCCTGGCCATGAAAGCCTTCAAGGATACATATTAATTCTTTAATTTGTCATTTTAAAAAAAATGATGTTTAATCTGGCCTATCAAGAATAGTACAGGAGTAAACCTACAACAACCATCAGGTCCTGGCCATGAAAGCCTTCAAGGATACATATTAATTCTTTAATTTGTCATTTTTTTAAAAAAAAAAATTGATGTTTAATCTGGCCTATCAAGAATAGTGAGAGGCATCTGTGACTATTTTTTTCCAGCTGCCTTTACCAGAAGGATTCAGCAGTTTTTGAATGTTCAACCTGGTTGGGTGGGAGATCCATTTGCTGCTCTGCTTCAGGTAGCAAAGTGCCTTGGAGGGGGGGGGCAAATGTGATGTAACATTTTCTTAGTGACCTGGCACACCATAGTGGATGTTACCACCCCAGTAACTCTCACTGTTGAATACCTTGATCTGGAATGGATTTGTACCATCTGCAAAAGAATTCTCTGGTTTGTAGCAGAAAGTGGCTCTTTGTGCACAGTGATGACCAAAGATTTCTGAAAGTCATTTATAGGAAATGAGGGGAGATACAAATCACCAAGGAGGAGGATAATCAGTAAGCAGTATTTGAAGGGAGAAGGTCAGGAGGACCATCATTCATATTTGGAAGAGGGGTTGAAAATTAGAGGTACATGATAGCTGCTCCTCTGATATTGTGGGGCAGAGTGAATCAACATACTATAAGGTGATTCTAAAAATGTGGGAAGCCAATTTTTAAAAAATGCAGCTTTTCAATAGCCCTGACAATTGCTTTGTGTTTGGGTGAGAAGTAGTTAACTGAGGATAAAATGGAGTCAGATTCTTGTGGGATTTTCCCTCAATTTATGTCCCTATGTGAATGGTAATGAACCCAAGAGGGTATCCTGTAGACCATCTTGACTTGCTGCCATTTGTGTTGTCAACATTCAGGATGCCCTTTGCTATGGAAAGCTTGGCATCTGTTTTCCTGCTGGTAATACTGGCACAATGTTGCACTGGAATATCAGACCATTTCCTGGTGGTTTGAATCGTGGATAGAGAAGCACAATATCCCACATTCATAAACCAAAGGTCAGCCTTTTCCAGACACGTCCCAACTTTCTGATCTCCTTCTTAAACCCTGATGCTTAAAAATGGACACAAACACCATGTTTTGTTATTCAGTTTTCGAAGAACTGAATAACAAAACAGGGGATTTGTGTCCATTTCTGAGCATCACAGTTTAAGAAGAATATCAGCAAGTTGAGATGTGCCTGGAAAAGGATGACTTGGATGATAAAAGGTCTAGAAACAAACTCTTATGAAGAATAGCAGGATATATTTCATGTGGAAAAGAGAAGGCTGAAGACTGACCTGAGAGCCATCTTTAAATATTTGAAAGGGCTGTCATATGGAAGATGCACGGCAGGAGAGGAAGCTGAACATGTTCCATATGCATTGTCTCTGATGCATTTTTGGTATCACCTGGCAGAACAGAGTTCCAAATAGAGTAGTCCTAGAACGAGCTGGAATTTTTAGCATGTTTACGTTACTGAAACAGCAACGTCTACATTGGTTCGGGCATGTCGTGAGAATGGTTGATGGTCAGATTCCAAAAGGTCTCCTGCATGGAGAATTAGTGCAGCGAAATCGCCCCAGAGGGAGACCGCAGCTGCGATACAAGGATGTCTGCAAGTGGGATCTGAAGGCCTTAAGAATGGACCTCAACAAATGGAAAACCTTGACATTTGAGCATTCAGCCTGGAGACTAATTATTCTAGCATCACGGCCTCTCCCAATTTGAAGAGACCCCTGTCCAGCAAGCCAAGGCAAAGAGACAGTCATGAAAGCAACAAAATCGGGGAGCTGGACATGGGACAGATTGTATTTGTCTTCAGTGTGGAAGGCATTGTCACTCTCGAATTGGCCTTCTCAGCCACACTAGACGCTGTTCCAAGTCCTCCATGCAGAGCACGTTACCATAATCTATTGAAACTGAAGGATGCCTAATCAAAAATCATATGGAAGATGGAGCAGGCTTATCTTCTGTAGCTCCAGAAGGTAGGACCTGAAGCAGTGGATTCAACTTACCAGAAAGAAGGTTTCAACTGAATGTTAGGAAGAACTTCATTTCAGCGAGAGCTCTTCAACAATGAAATGGACTATCTCAAGGCTGTGGATTCTTTCTCACTGGAGATTTTTAAACTGTTAGGGAAACTTTAGCTATAGATTTCCAGCTCTGTTGAGGTTTTGAAGTCCCTTGGGGTTCCTTTCCAGCCAGCTCTTTAATTCTATGGTCAAAATCCTAGTCAGGCTTTACACTTGAGTAAGGGCAATTGTGCCATGATTTCTACCCTTTGGCTGGCTCCCCTTTGTACGATCCATCACACGACTGGTAGCACAAGAGATGTTGCAGTTAGTGCTTCACTGTTCAAATGCAGAAGAGCCTTTTGAAGGAGCAAAAACACTTACACAATTGCCCTTACCTGATCGCATAAGCAAGCAGAATTCTAGCCTGTAAGTCCATGATTCTAAATCCAATTAGTCCCAACGAATGTAGACATGCTGAATGAATGAGACTTGTTAATATTTTTCATAACTCTCATTGATTCAATGGGTTTACTTTAGACAGGAGTAACTACTACTGGATTTAGCACCAAAGTAGCACAATTAAAAGGCATCTAGATTTGATTTGATTTGGTTATGGATTATTTTTGTTACCAAATTCTAAATGGACTTTGGCTGAAAGTAATAATGAAACAACTCTGCAACAGTGGTTGGCTGTATTAGCCTTTCTCCCAATGCTATGTTCTTTGCTCCACTTCAGCTGTGCTTAATACTAAGCTTTGAAAAATATATCAAGAGGTCCACTTCAACATCTCTACAATGTTTCATCCGCTGGCAACATGGGAAGTCATAATACCATGTAGAATATGTTAGAAGGATTATAAAATCAATCTGTATGCAGAAAGTATTTTGCATACTTTAAAGAACATACCTTTATATCTGATCTCAGTGTTATTATTAAGCAGTGGTGGATTAATATGAATTAATGTGACTTTTAATTATTCTTGCATTGAATTAGCATATGAACAATGAGTAAGAACACCCACCCTGCTTTCCATATGCTTAGATAATGTCATGCACTCAAGTGTTGCACCTGGCACGGTTTCAAAAGGTACATTCTCTCTGGCATATATGAGACAAGGGAAATTTCTTCTATTAAAGACACCACCTCCCACTCACAGTCAGAAAGGCCTGTGGTTTAGTGATGGACCACATACGTTTCATGGAGAAGCTCCCAGTTCTGTCCATGACATTTCCAGGTAGACTGGGAAAGGCACCTGTGTGAACTCCTGGGAAGCTAGTGCTTATTGGTGTAAGTTTCTATCCAATATCTGGGCAGCTCCATCTTGAGCTAGATGGACCTATGGTCTGAACACATATCTGTAATCAGGAAATGCATATTTTATGAATTGCTCCATCTCCCTTCACATGGACGATCTCACATTAAGCAACTCATCCTTCCTGCTTCCTGCTGCCTGCAGATGTGCTCCAGAATGTCCCCAGCTTTTGATTTGGGGACATGCAGGAATTCAGAGACATTGAGAGTCTGTTCTTGTGGATGAACACAGTAGAGTACAACTGCTAGTTTTCAAAGTCCCTGTACTGAAAAGAGTGTGTTGCAAAAGACTTTTGACTACTGCTTATTGGTGTAAGTTTGCATCCACTATCTGGGCAGCTCCATCTTGAGCTGAAAAGAGTGTGTTGCAAAAGACTTTTGAATGACTGATACAAGTCATTAATGTAGGCATCTTGTGGGACTTCTGTAACAGGAGATCAGTGAATGCAGGTGGGCAGGCAGACAAGCAGCAGTTTGGCAGCTGTATTTATGAAGAAATGAAAAAGATTGTTGCTCTAGAATAGAGCGTGCGCTTTGCATACACAGCATTCCATGTTCAGTTCTTGCCATCTCTAGTTAAAAGGATCAGGTAAGATGAAACTGTTTGTCTCTCTTTCTTTTCAGAATAAACTATACAGTGGTACCTCAACTTACGAACGTCCCTACTTGTGAACGATTCATGTTACGAATGGCTCTGTTCACAAAACTTTGCTTCGACTTGTGAACGGAGCCTTGACTTACGAATCCAAATAAATAAATAAGTAAATAAGTAAGTAAGTAAACTTTGCAAACACAGCATTCCATGTTCATTTCTTGCCATCTCTAGCTAAAAGGATCAGGTAAAATGAAGCTGTTTGTCTCTCTTACTTCTCAGAATAAACTATACAGTGGTACCTCAACTTACGAACGTCCCTACTTGTGAACGATTCATGTTACGAATGGCTCTGTTCACAAAACTTTGCTTCGACTTGTGAACGGAGCCTTGACTTACGAATCCAAATAAATAAATAAGTAAATAAGTAAGTAAGTAAATAAATAAATAAATAAATAAATAAGTAAATAAATAAATAAATAAATAAATAAATAAATAAATAAATAAATAAATAAACCCTTTCCTGCCCTTTTTTTGACCTAAGTTCATCTTAGGTCAAAAGAAGAATAAAAATATCACCCCCTAGTGGTAGAGTATGGATTAACCGGCTTTGCATTAGTTCCTATGGGAACTAATGTCTCTACCTACAAACAGCGCCTCGACATACGAATGGAAAACAGCCAGAACAGATTAAATGGTTTTCAATGCATTCCTATGGAAAAGTTTGCCTTGACTTATGAACTTTTCAACGTACGAACACCGTTCCAATACGGATTAAGTTCGTAAGTCGAGGCACCACTGTATTGGCTTAGATGGACAGTTAATTTGTCCCAACGTAAGGTGGCTTTCTAAGATCCCAGTGGGATGAGGGCTATGATCCAATGATGAGCAATTACACAAAGCAAAGCTCCCCAGCTACAATTCTTTGGTTCTATTTATCATCCTTTCTCTGCATCTCATTTCCCTCTTTTCAATTCTTTTCATCCCTCAGACGTCCTGCACACCAACTGGGATTCTTGCCCTCAGGATAACTACAATCAAGTGTGCTCCAAAGAGTCTTCAGGAAAGGGCAGTGCCTTTTTCCAGCATGAGCCAGAAAGAAACAAGTATGTAATGATGATTGCTTTGGGGAATGAGAACTCCTTTGCCCTCAAGAAAAATGGGAGGGGTTTTAAAAGGGTGTTTATATAGATGTATGAGGTGTCAGGCATCAGGTGGGCATTTTTCTAACACCATCCACAATCTAAAACTTCCAGATGTGGAGACTCCCATCACCCAGCAGACATAAGTAATGAGGGATAGTGGCATCTGTGGATGAGTCTAAAACTGCTAGCATGCCAGATTAGGGACAGTTGGCTGTTTTAGTATGATCATGTTGAGCTTCATAACCAACATCGTTCTCACCAGAAATGCTTTCTCGTAAGTGCGGAAAGTCAACTGTGACCGGGTGGGGGTGTGGAAAATTTTCCATTTAAAAAAAAACATTGCATCATACAGTAAATTGATAAAATAACAGACACATTGGGAAAACCCAAAACTGTAACTAACTTTTATAAAGATAACTATGCATAGGAAATAGCTATTTATCTAATACATGTACTTCTAGGCATGTTAAATTTAGTTTTTTTCATAGTTGCTGTGCCTGTGTTTTTTTCCTTTAACATGTAAACAGTTGAGGAGAAATTGGATGCTACCAAATTATTTTGCTGTGAAATACTTACAGATATTCCACCCCACTGCAGGAATTTACTTTGAAATTGATTTGTTTGAATTTGACATGTGCCTTATTTTTTCTTAAATCAAATATTTCATTTGAAATCATTATGGGCATTAGAAGAAATTTTCAGATTTTTGTACACTTGCTTATAAGATATAGGGTTTACATCTATGGTAAAGTGGATCCCAGTCATTTGAGGGCTCTGGAAAATTGTGTGGGAAAAATCAGGAATTAAAATCCACATAGTAAGTTCCTATGAACAGGTTGAGCATTGTTTGTTTGTCTTGCTATATGACACTCTAGTAGTCCATTGCAGTATGACAGATCATAGCATTGGAACTCAGAGGGTTAGATATCAGCTTGTGACTCACTTAACAGAATCCTGTTGGTGATTTACGTCTGCCTACTTAAACTGTGTAGGTCAGTGCAGTAGATGGGTGTTAATGCATGAGATAGTGTTTACACTACTAGGTGAGTACCTATTGCACAATCAGATGGGCATCTCATAATGCAGTTATTGCTTGGTTAGTTAATGTCAATTCAATGCTGCGAGTTACAAATTTAACATACACATTCATAAACCATTAATAAGATTATGGTCACCATGACACAAAGAAACCTTGGCCAGAGGCCCTTGTAGCCATTTCACCTCAGGTGATCATAGGCAGGCCACATATCTCTGAACTCAAGCCAGATTTATGCTGAATATCAGGAAAAAATTTCTTAACTGTTAGAGCAGTACAACAATGGAGCCAATTACCTCGGGAGGTGGTGAACACTCCAGCGCTAGAGGCATTCAAGAGAAAATTGCAGAACCAACTGTTAGACCTGCCTTGATTTGGATTCCTGCATTGAGCAGGGAGTTGGATTCGATGGCATAGGCCCTGTACAACTCAATTATTCTACGGTTCTATGATTCTGTGATTCTATGAACTCCGTGGAGTGTGGTTTTCAAGGTGCCTGGCAGTCACAAAAACAGCCTTATGTGACCCCTGGGGAAGATGATTTAGACCCTTGTTGCCTGTCTATCATCCGTTCCTCAACATGCTACATAAAGCTGTTGGGAATTTCAATTCAGCAACATGTGGGAAGCTACAAGTTGCCCGTCACTAATGTAGATGCACAGCATCTACACGACTGAGCAAAGGTGGCCTCCCTCCCCTTGGTTAACTGAAAATTATAAGAGGACATTAGACGCTGCTAAGGCTGTAATGCAGGTGCTTTTAAAGAAAAATAAAACAAATACATAGGCCTGAGATTAATTCAACCAACACTGGATGTCACCATTGTACTACACAAACACCACTGATATGGAGCGTAGCAGGCTCCCGTTTTCTTCAAGTCAGTCGGAAAATAAGACTTTTCTCCGGCACACAGCCAAAGAGATGTTGTCCCCTAGTATCTGTGCCTATAATTCAGAAAAATCAGTATTACTGCTTTATAGGGACAGATTTTGCCAGCCACCTTCAGATTTTGAAAACTAGAGCTGCATCAAATATGCTTGAACTAGGATATTTATTTTGAAAAGATTACAATCACTGCAATCAAGCAAACTGCTGGAAAATACTAACGTTCTGCCTGCATGGTTTCTGCTGTTGGTTCGCCACCTTGCTTCTTCTTCGGAGTTTTCTCCCCCTGGCCCCCCGTCCTCTCTCTGACTAGTCCTCAGCTGTCATTTAACATGATGTAACTACCTGCCTCTGATGTACCGTCACAGTATCCTCCAGCATCACCCAGATTAGAAATGATCTACAATGTTCATTTGTGCCAGAACATTTCTGAAACATTGACCTTGTTTGTAATTTATGTGGAAAAGCCAGAAACTAGAGATACTACGGCTGAAATCCTGTTGCACAGCTCTTTGCCATGTAAGGCTGATGATGTCGCCAGCTGTGGCGATTTTTCACAAATTAAACAATTCTAATGTCACCCCCTCCCTGAAAGTCCAGAGTGTCCATTGGGATCCCTTTTGCCACTTGGGAAGGCTGCAGAATGGAAGCAAGAGGGGTGGGGGGAGTCTTTAGTTTCCAAAAATTATCAGTGACAGCAAAATCATGCAGTGGCAGCAATTTTTGGTAATTAAAGACTCTTCTCCTTCAGCCCCCAATGGTTTCCCAACAATGGGAAGGATTCCACAGAAGCCTCAGTTTTACGAAAGGAAATCAGAAATGTTTTCTTTCCTTCTTTTCTATCCCTTTTGCAAGAAGTTGAAATAAGAACTGCTGGATAGGTCAGGTCTCTGCCCAGAGGTTGGGAGTTCAATTCCGCACTGGGCTTTCTTGACAGGGGCTGAACTCAATGATCTGTAGGGTTCCTTCCAGCTCTACAGTTCTAAGATTATATTATATCAGTGGCTGCATCTAATGATTAGACATGGGAGATTTGCATTTTATCAGAGCTTCAACAAGTTCCTCTTTTGGATTACAACATTTAGAAATCCTTAACTGTAACCACCCCCAAGTTGCTTTTTTTGTATGTTAAGCTGGCCAAACATACCACCTGTGTCCACTTTTGGTAACATAAACCCTCCAAGCTGTCGCAGAATTTTGAATGTTTGGTTGAATTCCTGTAGCCGTGCAATAAAAATGCCGGGGTTCACAGAGCAGAATAGCTTCAAGATTACCAGATTAGTCCACCCATCTTTCTCATTAACTGGCACTTACAGTCTAAATAGCTCATTCTGAGACATCAATGAGAGAAAGAATAAAGGACTTCATTACTTACAATTGAACAGATCAAACAGAAAACCTGCAAACATGATGGCCTTTCAGCAACTCGTAACTGCCAGCATACAACAGAGAGGGAAATTGCAGACATGATGGCCTTTCAGCAACAGACTTCAACAGACTCCTAACTGCCAGCATACAACAGAGAGGGAAAAGAACTGAACAGAGAATTGGGGCTATATTTGAATTCAGGGGCAGGAGGGAACAATTGGTTAGTGCTGGATAGATTGACAGCCCAGGAAGCCCCACCCCCAGCCAAACCTACTAAAGGCACATGTAAAGTTGCAAAAACTCCAACACAACCCTCCAGCTGGGGCATAGCCCTACTTGCTCATCTGTCTAGGAGTAAGTGATAACTAGACACAGTGGAGAAGTACAGCTTGGGTATGGCAATCTGCAATGGGATTGCCATAGAGCTGGGCAGATGAAAAGGAATAACTCAGTCTTAGTTTAGGTGACCCTAGCTCAGGGTCTGGCCATTTTATGGCATATTGGACTTTTTTGGACTCCGGTTCCCAGAATCCCCCAACTAGCATGGCTGTTATCTGTGCCAGCTAGGTGATTCTGAGAACTGTAATCTAAAAAAGTAACTTTTCCCAAACTTTATACTATATCATCAAGTTGTAGCATTTAAGTCCATTAAGTGGAGCTTGAATCTTTATCATGTGCGTTATGTCTTAATTGACATTTGTTGTTATTTGGATGCAGATTGCCCTCCAATTAAGATCATGACTACCACTCTCATCGTGACACAACACGTTGTGAGAGAGAACCAAGGGACCAAAGGGAATGACCTTCTATATGGAACAACTGCAGCTGAGATTAATGAAGAAACTGAATACATTAAAAAGGTATGTCCATTTCTATGAGCATATGAAGGAGACATAGGTGATCTCAGACTAGTTGTCCATCTAGCCCAGAATGACCACTCAAGGTGTGACTATAGAGTGTGGAAAATATGCTTAGATTTGCTGTGATTCAGTTTATCAAAGTGGATCCCTGCTAGTTTCTGAAGGTGAAATTGTTGTAGTCATCTACCTTACGAAAAGATTCCTTTCTCCTCTAATCACCAGCACCTTTGATCTGACAAGCTGCTAACTGGCAATTTCCACCTCTTATTTTTCTGAAGTGGCTTAGGACTAATTTTTTTCAGCAGTGACCCTTGAAGGCTTTTAAAAAAACTGTTTAGAGACAACAGTTTGGATATGACTTTGTATTAGGTCAGGCAAGTGCACAGGGCAGAAAATAGAGAAAAGCGAAGACTGTCCAAGAACTCAGGTAAACATCTATCCAAGGCCAGTGGTTTGAGATCTTTTAACTGCAGATGTCAAGCATTAAGGTTGGGCAAAACATATGTATTCGAACTGAGCTGCGGCATTAACTTATAGACCCATATTATTGGGCGGAGGCTACAATGGATGGATGGATGGATGGATGGATGGATGGATGGATGGATGGATGGATGAACTGGTGCATTGGTATGTTGTAGACCTCTAGGGCAGTGGTGGGGATCTTTTGGACCTACATATGTTTAGTACTTAAACATTATTAATTCTGGTTAGGGCTTTAGGGAGCTGAGGTCCTAAAACAGTGCGGAGTGAAAGATTCCTCACTTCATCTTTGTTATCAACTTTATCTTTATTTAAAAACCTATATAAAAACCTCACAGAAAAACCTATAAAATGAATGCAATTGCTTGGAAACATGAGTCTCCTGTGCAGGAATGGAAAATGTTAACAAACAAAACTATAACTCCCAAAATCCCATGGGGGCTGTGGGATTCTGGGAGATGTAGTCCAAAACACCCGACATTTCCCATCTGTGCTCCTGTAATTATTCTTGTCAGAAAGGTGGTACAGGTGGAAGTTTGCTGTTGGGTGTCCATGATGCCAAAATGTGGTTTTCCAGTTTGGGCAGCAATGTGTGAACTGACTCATGAATGGATGTCAGAACCTACTTAACAGACAGAAATCTCAAGAGCCCTGCCAGAGCTTTCTCTCTGCAGTGCATCTGGGTTTGGTGGGTACATTTTGAAGCTCAAGTCACTAAACATGAAGCGCTGATATCAACCTATAAACTAGCCAAGCATTGAAATGCACAAATGTACAGATGCCTGGATGTCAGTTTTTAGCAGACTTTGAAACTCATCCAAATGTAATCTATGGACACATGCTCAAATTTCAAAAATTGTAGCCGCTTCTAATGCGATGCATGGCATTTAATGGAACAGAAGTCCGATTTTTATCTGGCTTAGACTTCTAGGCAAATGTCAGGCGTGTTGTGATTGCTTCTGTTTTCCTTCTACAGATTAGAGCCACTCTAGCAAAAGTTCAGCCTTTGTTGGGTAAAAGCCAATCAAGCCATTGGATTGCAAATGGCCAGCAAGAGACAAAGGTAGGGAATGATTTTCTTGCAAGAAGGAAACTGAAGGTTGCATAATAGCCAAACTTTATACAGTGTACATTAAGGCAACCACTTTCCCTTTTCCATGGAACAGGGAAGAATGCTTACCCCTTATTTCCCTTAGTTCAGCTAGATCGTGGTATCTGAAAACAGTAGACTTATTGCTCCTCATAACTCCTGATTTCCACCCTTTGCATGTTCTGTCACACTGGTGAAACAGCAAAATTCACCATTTGTCTGACAAAATTGCACGATTCGGCCTCTCGTTAAAAAGAAGCTTGCAGGACTTTCTGAACATGGGAAGAGGTGACTGTGAAGGAATTGTGCTTGGCTTTTAGCTGCCTAATGCTGCTGATCTGCAAATTCAGGCAGAAAGGGTTTGCTGCCTGATGCAGCGTTCCAAGCGCTAATTAATCTTGTAGGCAGAGAATGTGGTCTCGGGGGAATCGGAAGCTGTTATTTATCAGGTCTGTTGTGCTAATGCTTTCAGATATGAAGCCCCAGAGAGCTGAGCAAATAGAATGAGATCGTTTATTGCCATGGGTGGAAAGAGGAAAACATAAAAATTGTTGCCTAGAATCATAAGCATCCTTAGGTCTCAGTTCAAGGTGGGAGTGAAGATGGGGCCAGATCCTTTAGCTTGCAAGCTTCATTTGGGGAACCCCACTGATTCCTGCCTGACAGCAGCAGAGTGCAAAATTAGTGCTCTGTTAGTAATACTGACATTTGTTTGTCCATCTAGGCCAGGGCAGGATTTTTCTTTTCTTTTTGCAAACAAAGGCTGCATCTTTAGGTGGGGTGAGATTGCCAGTGGTAGGCAGAGCAGCACAACTAAAGAAGGGTGAGGACAGATTGACCCCTCCCCCTCTTCCTCCCTCTGTTTTATTTCCCCCTCTTTGGCACACACACCCATCCATTCTCTTCCTCATCCTCATTCACACACTCACACATACTGTACATCCCATCCTATCCAATCACATCACAGTCAATTCACGCAAAAATCAGTTGATGCACACGCATACCCAGATCATCCTTTGTTTTTCCCCTCATGCACACAAGTCCGCAATAGCCATCCCTCTATCCCCTTCCAAAGCATCCCCCTTATTCCTTTGTCATTAGACCTATTGCTAAAAGTGTGGACAATGCTGATGTAAAACCTCAAGCTACGTAGTGCAGAAAAGTCCAGATAGGAACCTATAGTGCAGATTATTATGATTACAAATCTTCCTCAAACATACTACCCCTTATTGTTTGGTTAGTTTTACCTCAACTGGTAATATTGTCTCCGTAGGTTTAGCCAGAGACTCTAGTGTTGACAAAGAATTAAGAAATGTTTATTTTACTCACAAATCTTCATGTACAACAGAAAAACAAACAAAACACATTCACTTACATTGTTTAATTGGTTAATTTCATTATGTGACTGACTGGTTACATAAAACAGCTCACTCAGACTCTAACTGCTGACTCCATAACTGTCAAATTCTAATACACGCTAACATTGCTAACTGACTTAGAATCCTATCTGAGTAAAAAGGCAGGAAAAGGAATCTCAGGTATGTAGTAAGGGAACAACTGGCTGCTACCATGATTGACATTCAACCTTTGAAGTCCCTCCCATCCAAACCTCTTAAAGGCATAATATGTAGGTTGCTATAATTCTAACAAAACCCACCATATCCTATTGTTTCAGTTACGTGTGCCCACGTAATTGGGCACACGGTGTGTGTGTGTGGACACTCTGTGATTGTCCAATGCACAAGCTGGCTCTTTTTTCCAGGAGGTACTGTGGGGTATCAAACACCGGCCTCCTGGCTCCATGTAGATATACTTCTTGCACACTACATTCCAGAATTGTCTCACTTTCTCCCCTTCTCTTCCCCATCAAACTGCATATGAGCTAATTCTGAAATCAGTTCACTCAGAAGGGAGCTGGAGTGGAATACAGGGAACAAAAAAGCCATAGGGCAGTAACTCAGTAGGGCATACCATTTCATCCTTGGTGTTCTTTGGTTTCAGCCACACCTGCAGGAACCTGGAGTGGAGTCTGATAAAGAACCCACATCCTTTGACTGCAAGGAGACAATGAAAAAGATGAAAGAAGCAGAAGAGGAGCTGTTACGGGTGAACCAAGAAAAAGAAATGTTAAAGATCAAGGTATGTCTATATTTCTGTCAAGCACAAGAAGCATTTCTATGACCACAGCAACACAGAACAGTCTTTAGCATTTCTGATTAATTATTTTAAAAGGACGACTCCAGAAATTGATGAGTAATGCACTAGGAGCTGTGATATTACCTGTGGCACATTCCTTTTGGTGTGGCAAGGGCTAAAAAGACTCCTTAAAAGAAATATTACAATGAATGGTAATTGGGAGTGTGTGGGGGTTTTTTGGGTCTGTAATGTGTATTCTATACTCCAAAATATTATTTTATTTTAGGTAATTTGATGGTATCTTTGGCACATCTTTGTTGACTTTATTATTATTATTTAACATTGATTAAAAGATGCTTTACAAACACATGCAAGATAATGGTGACTGGCATTGCTTTTCAGAGAAAAAAAGAGAAAGGCTACATTCATGTATTGACTTTTAAAAAATAATGTTCTGCCTGGAACATGCAGAGAGGATTCACTCTATCTGAAAGATGGTTTTATTGCATAACTGAATATTATGCTGTATTAAACAGCTGTATAAATGCTAAAAGGTAGATGTTGGGAAGAAGAAGAATCAGTAATTTTTATGCTTCATCTGTTAGTTGCATCTCTGTTTTTGTTAAACATGCTGGGACATTTTCTTTTTTATGGAGAAGCAGTCTTGCAGTTTCCTTCTTTGACATGCAGTCTGACGCGACAGAATCTGGAAAATGTGTCACTTAGTGTCTCGTTTATTTTTTCTGTAAAATGGGTTTGAGCATGGATGATTCTACAATGGGGAAAGGAGACTTTCCAGCCTGTGGGTCTAATCCAGCCTCTGGATATTTCCAGGCAGGACCATCCAGGTATAGCAGAGATTCCATTCTACTTTTACACAGGGAAGCAGGAGGAGGAATTAAAGTAGATGTGCTCTCAGATACTGGTCATGACTGCACTCTCTGGGGGAAAAAAGAATCAATCCTGCAATAATAATAGTAGTAATAATAATAATGATAATGATAACAACAACAACAATAATTTCAGAACTGCAGAGCAGAAAGGGGCCCTATAGATCAGTGGCCCCCAACCTTGGGCCTCCAGATGTTCTTGGACTTCAACTCCCAGAAATCCTGGCCAGCAGAAGTGGTGGTGAAGGCTTCTGGGAGTTGTAGTCCAAGAACATCTGGAGGCCCAGAGTTGGGGACCACATAGATCATCAAGTCCAATCCCTCTCAAGGAGTCGACTCAACCTCCTAACTAATGTCTAGACCATTGATGACTCATAGAGTCAGAGGAGACCACTCAGGCTATCCAGTCCAACCCCCTGCCATGCGGGAACATCCATCAAAGTACTTCCAACAAATGTCCATCCAGCCTCTGCTTAAAAACCTCCAAAGGAGGAGACTCCACCACCCTTCAAGGCAGCCTATTCCACTGCCGAACAGCTTTGACTATCAGGAAGTTCTTCCCAATGTTCAGATGGAATCTCTTTTCCTGTAGTTTGAAATAATTGCTCCGTGTCCTAGTCTGTAGAGCTCTGGAAAACAAACTTGTCCCTTCCTCGACATATGTCCTAGTCTGTAGAGCTGTGGAAAACAAACCTGTCCCTTCCTTGACATGACATCCCTTCAAATATTTAAACATGGCTATCATGGCCCCTTTTAACCTTCTTTTTGTAAGGCTAAACATTCCCAGCTCCCTAAGCCACTCCTCATAGGACACGGCTTCCAGACCTCTGACCATTTTGGTCTCCCTCCTCTGGACACGTTCCAGGTTGTCAACATCCTTCTTGAACTGAGGTGCCCAGAACTGGACACAATACTCCAGGTGAGGTCTAACCTAAGCAGAACAGAGTGATACTATCACTCCCCTTGAACTGGACACTATACTCCTATTGATGCAACCAAGAATCGCATTGGCTTTCTTGGCAACCGTATCACACTGCTGACTCATATTTAGTTTGTGGTCTATCAAGACTCCTAGATTCCTTTCACAGGTACTGTTGTCTAGCAAGGTGTCTTCCATCCTATATCTGTGCAGTCCATTTTTTCTGCCTAGGTGTAGGACCTTATATTTCTCCCTGTTGAAATTCATTGTGTTAGTTTTGGCCCAGGACTCTCATCTGTCAAGGTCATTTTGTATTTTAATCCTGTCCTCTGGGCAATTAGTACATAATGCAAAGGTTTTTGTGTTAAATACACTATTTTGTGCAGGGTTTTTTTGCTGTATAAATAAAATAAATAAATACATAATGCAAAGGTTTTTGTGGAAAATACACTATTTTGTGCAGGGTTTTTTTGTAAAATGTTTTAAAAATGTACAAAAACCTTTCATAATCTTGCCTTGCAGAGAAAAATGTTCTAATTTTTTCATTCACACCAGTGAGAGCAGCATAAACAAAGACATACATTTTTATATGCCAAAATGCTGCAAGCCAGTGTTGTTGTTCTTGTTGTTATTACTCCTCTTTGATCTGATGCAGCGCCTAGTGATGGTTTTAATATTACATTTTTGGTCCCTTTTTATATACCCATTTTACACGTGAATATGTCTTTTAAAAATTGCTGCAACATTTGGTGGTGGCATCTAGCAGGTTTTATCCGGGATATGCTTTCAAGGACTCCAGCCCACTTCTTCACCTGCAGTGTGAAATCGTTGCTCTGGAAAGCTTCTCTCAAATAAAATTCTTCAGCCTTCAGAGTAACACTAGGCTCTTTACTGGTTTTTCTTCAGCAGACTAACATGGTTGCCCGCGCTCTCTGGTAAAGCTTTAAATTGTTGCCCCCCATCTTGTAGAGCATTTATATAAGTGATCTATTCATGCCAGATTGAATCTTTTCCAGCTTGAGGCTTCGAGAGCTGCAGGTGCAGAATCTGTGAAGAATGCCTCAGAGAAACTCCATGAAGATTATCAGAAGCGCTTGGGGGAGCTGAAGAAAAGGCAGGAAGGAATCATGCAAGTAATGAAGGTATATAGTTCCGAAAATGTCATCCTTTAAGGATGGTTCTGGTCTGTAATAACATTTGGCTTATTTGAATGGATAGTAGGAAAAGTTACTTTTTGGGTTACAACTCCCCGAATCCCCCTGATCAGGAGATTCCTGGTTAGTTTGGTTAGTGGAAGTAGGCCCATTTGTTTAGTGGGTCTACTTTAGTTGGAGCAAACAGCTGGTTTGAGAATCATAGGGCGAACTCTCGTTGTATAACGTGAGTGAATTTATGAGTTTCGGTCCATTCCTTTAAAAGGAATGTTCAAGTTCCGTGAGATTCCTTGTTTCCAGGAGACAATTTTTTTTCTTGTCGAGGTCTCTGCCATTTGCATAAATTGTCTTTGCAAAAAGCTGGTGTTCCTTCTTTCTAATAAGCAAGACACATATGGTTCGGTTTGTATTGCGTGTGTTATAGGCCTGTCTGGCAGATTTGCTTAGCTTTGTGCACAGTCCTTCTTATCATTTGTTGCCTTGTCCAGAGTTTTGCAAAACGCCTCTCCCTTCCATGGGGTATGGAGAATAATTTTGCAGTCCCTCAAGCTTGGATCCATGGCGAGACTAGCAGGAGTTTATAAACAAAGATTCGCTATTCTGAGCAGAGGCTATAGCAGTGTATTGCTGAAGGGCAGCGAGTCTGTTTCTGTGCACTTCTGAGCATAACTTTTTTGATTTTCTCACAGGCTCACAAACTGAAGCAAGAACAAAAATTAAAAGAAAGCACAGACAATCTCATCCCGCTGAATGGTGAACTGCTCGAAAAGCTTATTGAGACTGAAGAAATGGAAAAACGAGTACAAAGGATGGAAGAGGTGAGGCTGGAGGTTCTTGGAGGCTGGCGGGTCTTCCCCATCATCCGTGGGTGGATGATGCTACCTATTTTGTAGAAGCACATGGGCAGGAGGAGGAGATGCAAAATGGATCATTGTCTCCTGAAATGTCTTAACTATAACTTCACCTTTAGGGGAAAAAACACACACCAAGCAAAACATTCTCACCCTGATGGGCTGAATATCAGGAAGAACTTCTTAACTCTTAGAGTAGTATGACAGTAGAACCAGTGACCTCGGGAGGTGCTGAGCACTCCAACACTGGAGGCATTCAAGAGAAAATCAGACAACGCTCTGTCAGATCTGCTTCGATTTGGACACTTGCATTAAGCAGCAGGCTGGACTCAATGGCCTTCTAGGCCCCTTCAATTTCATTATTCTGTGATTCAAAGGGTAATGCCTGGTGAATTTTTGGTAAGCAAAGAGAGAGCTAAATTGGGATTCCAATTAGGAGTGGCTCAAGGGTACAGTTCTACTGTTGTCTGTATCTCTCCCCCTGTGGGTAACTGAAGAGGATTAAATTACACAAAGAATTGTTATTTATAGTATTTGTCTACAAGCCTACAGTTTCCATTTTTCTTCATCATCATTCAAGAACACTAGGAAGGAAGCCTTTTTGCAAAGACTTTCCACACATCCTTGGTTGATGCACAAGCACGAGCAGTGAACAAACACTACTCTCTTTGTAGTAAAAAGTGATCACCAACAAGAAGTTATGGTGGCAAACGTATTACTCAAAATCCAAGCATCAATATCTGTTTTGTTATTCAGGTGGTTTCGAGGGGGGCACAATTTGAATCATTGGGGCCAACGAGTTTTTCAGGAGTTTTTGAGGCACTGGTGACTTGGCAGGATCTGGGGAAGCTTAGGGAGATGGACCCCTGGGGCTCACATGCTGAATTTCACCCGTCCGTCTTCTAAAATATAGGCGAACACTGACTTCTCTTTTTTGTCTCCCTCTGTTGTAATATTTGGACTAAAAAGCATAAAACATGCAAAAAGAGCCATTTTATGCCAGCTGCAGAACAGTTTGCTTGTTAACACCTACTCTTTTCATATTTCTTTATTATTATCCAATGTCTTGCAATACTTAAAAACCCTTTTGGAGTTCTCAGTTGAAAATACTGTACCTCTTGTAGAGAGAAACAGTAAACAGTGAGAATTTGAATAATGAACACAAGACTCTGGGGACAAACATAGATCCAAATTATCATGACTTCAGTTCCTGATCTGGTTGAAGAACTGGAACTGCACACCAGTCGTTCTGTGCAGGTTACAGCTTCCAGTGGTTTTTGGATCACCACTCCAAGAATTCCCAACCACTGGTCATGCTGCCTGGGGATACTGGGAGATGTAGTCTTAGAAAGTAATTATTCCAGGCTCTGTGATAGATCTTGGAAGAGAAAGATGTAATCCATTTGGGAGAAGTCGATGGCTGTTGTGTGATAGTACAGTGGAGTCTTGACATAAGAACGGCTTGAGTTAAGAACATTTTGACTTAAGAACTGCTCTCATAGGAAAATATTGACTTGACTTACATACTTAGATTTGAGTTAAGAACTGAAAAAAACCACGTGGAAGGCAGGGAAAGTGCAAAATTTGAACTTTCAGTTAACTGTTGGCCAGTGAAAAGGGTGCCTGTCTGCTTCCTCGCTCCTCCCAGAGTTTAGAGAGTGGATTGGGAGACAGTCTTCGGACTGCCTGGTACTGCCTGGACTGTATTTTCCCTGCCTTCCCTGAACCTTTCTTGACCTAAGAAAAAAAGAAACAAAATATCCCCCTCTAGTGGTCGAAGGCGGAATAGCAGCTTCCCATTAGTTTCTATGGACGGAAAAGAGCAGATACGGATCAAATGGTTTTCAATGCATTCCTATGGGAAATGCAGATCTGAGTCTTAGAAAGTAATTATTCCAGGCTCTGTGATAGATCTTGGAAGAGAAAGATGTAATCCATTTGGGAGACGTCAATGGCTGTTGTGTGATAGTATGAGATTAGAGAAATCAGGAGACCAACATTTTATTTTAAAGAGTAAGACTTGCAAATGGAGAGGGTTGTGTGTTTTTTTTAAATCAATGTACTACCATGTATGTAGAGTATGACTTTTGTGACTTTGCTGTTCCCTAGGAGAAGAAAAAGTTGAACTATAAGAAACGAGCTTTAAAAGAGACATTGCAGCAGATGATGTCAAAGGCTGAAAACACAAAAAGGTTTGTAAATGGAACATAGTACAGAGAATGTTGTACTCACAGAGAGCAGAACACATTGTACTTCCTGGTCTTAATGAAATCAATAGAAAACAATCATGGTGACTAACTGAAATCTCATTGATTTCAGTATGTCTGTTCCGAATCAGACCATTTCTGAATACATAATTCAATGCTGAGATGATTTCAAATTTTCCTTATCTCAGTGCCCTATAGATGTGTTGGACTACAACTCCTATTATCCCCCAAGGCAGCAAGGCCATTGGTTGGTGTAAACATACACAGTTATCCTCTTCATCATGTTTTCACTATATGAATTCCAGTAGAAGAACTTACAGTATCTGAACTGAGGAATGCTAATTAAATAACAACACATTGAGGTGCAGTACAGTATGTGTTGGCTGAAAAAAAACACCAGCATTCTCTCCCTGCCCCATAGTGTGTGTCCTGAAATGGTATGTCCCATGCTTATTCTTACTGTATGGGAGTGACTATAACATCTGATTGCTTAAGGATACTTAAGGACCAAAATACATGTGGAAGGAAATACCATATTTTTTCTGTGTATAAGACAATACTTATGTCTAAAATCTTTAGACTAAAAATTGAGGGTTGTCTTATACACGGAAGCAAGCTGAGGAGAGAACAAAATGGGCCATACCTTGCCTCAGCTGCAAATGGGCTACCTCCAATCAGGAGGCTTAGCTTCCTCCAATCACGAGTCTTATGTAACTGACGTCAGCTGATGCTGAACAAACCAATTGGAACACACCTTGTTGGAGATGGAGCTGTAGGCAGTGTTCAGATACAACAGGGACTCGTAATGCCCAGAGGCTGAATACTCAGAACTAACTTAATATTTCTTAATTTTGGTTAGTAAAAAAAGGGTGTCTTATATATGGAAAATACAGTACATATTAAGGGTATCTTATATATGGAAAATACAGTACATATTTCCTACTATTACTGTGTTTTTCCTCTAGCCAATGGGAACGTTTAAGCAATGCGACTTGCTAACAAAGTCCCTGTGTACTTCCCAAGGACCCAATGGTCAATCACAACAATTATTGCTTAGGCATCAAACAATAACTGTAGGCCTAAACAATAGTGCTGGAAGCATGTGGCTGTCACAGGTCCAAATCTGCTTGCAGAGGTTCCTTTCCCAAATTGTTGACTTATAAAGACATGGCATGGCATTTCTTCATCTGCTTTGGGAATAGACAATTAAGTGAGGCTGGGAACGTCTAAAGATAGTGATATCGTGTCATGCATCTCCTTCCACTAAATGCAAAGCAATTTGGGAAAGTAACTTTTCTAAACTCCGACTATCCAAGCAGATCGGAAGGACCTATGGCAGCTGCGCTCACCCACCATTTTTCTTAAGGGCTCAGTTCTTGACAACTAGCAATTGTACTACCTCGGGGAAAAGTGGACAAAGTGTAGCCTTCAAAATAGTGTTGGACTGCAGCTCCTGCCAATCCTCAATACTGGGTCTACAATTTAGGGTAGGGCTAGTCCAGAAACATCTGGAAAGCTGCGCTTTGGTCACCCCTAACATAGGGGCATTTTCACAGTTTGGTCTCAGCACCATTCTGTAGTTTGAGGGAAAAGTCAACAATGAGATCCAAGAACCATATGAATGAGATGGTGTCTTTGGTCAACTCCAAATGCAAAGGAAATGGGAAATGCAAAGGGGCCAGTCATCTGAATCATTACATCCTAATTAACTTGCATCCTTCCATCCCATCTTACTTTGTCCAACGTGGAAATGTTCTCAGTTTTCCTTCCTGTCTCTGCCAGATGTGTAGGAGTTCAGACTGAGATCTCCACACTTCAGGAACAAATTAGCCACCTGGACCGCCTGATCCATTCTCAGCATCAAAACTTACACAGTCTGATTTATCAGGTTAGAAGAATGCTAATTCTGTATACAAACAGTAGACTCATCCTTCTCCAGTTTTGGTTCTTTTTGTGGCAAAAAGCAATATACAGTAATTTGCACAGAGGTGGGAAGTATCAGGAGGCAATTCCAAAGTTTGTAGAAGTATTGAAATAATATTCAGAGGGAAATGAGGCAGGGAGGGGTGGTTGGGTGAGTGGAATCTGCCAAAATGGAAGTAGGAGCATGCCCCATGATCGTGGAACGCCAATCTACTTCTTCATGAAGCAGTGGAAAATGAAGAGGAAGTTGGAGCAGATTGTCTTAGAAATTCGTATTGTTTCCTGGAACCTTGACCAGAAATATTCATAAACAGATGGCAAGATTAATGATTCTCTGAGATGTTTTTCAAAAAGAAAAAAGTTACAGCCATGTATCACGAATAAACAAGAATTTGATGTGTCTAATAGCTAAAGATACTGAAATGTAATTGTTTACTAGATGGATGCCTTGTGATGTCTGACGGGCGAATTCACTCTACTTAGTTTTGTGCTTTGAATGTTGGTAGAGCAGTCTTGGGTTTTGCAGCCAGCTTATGAGAAAATTTTTTTGTTTGCCCTGTTGAAATAGTGATGCTGCTTTAAGCAGCATCTTTCTGGGTACTTGCATACTTCATCCTACACAACATCTCATCCTCCCTTCCTGAGAAGACCGACAATGTTTGAAAGCTACTCAGAGAGCTGCCTCCCACACTGGGAAATAAGAAATCACAACAGTTTCTTGGATATGATTCAATTGAAGTAATTCTAAGTTATGTTTTGCTATGAATTTTATATTTCTTCTAATTGTTTCAGATTGAAGAACTAAATAATGAACTAAAACACCAAGATGAAAACATAGACCTCTTGAAAGAAAAGCTTGAGATGCTCCAAGCAAAGGTAAAGAGACATCTGAGTATGCCCTTTGGGGTGATGTTGTTATCCTGTTCCTACATTTACAGTATACACATATAATAGTAATACTAATATTCAGGTGTTCCTGGTTCAAGTTCCTGCATGGCCATGAAAATTCACTGGGAGGTGGGAACGATAAACTGCTCCTAAAACGTCTCATTTAGCCAGAAAGCCCTATGTATTAGAGTCAATCACATGGGTCGGAAGTGACCTGACCGCATGTTAACAACAACCCTTCCACAATTGGTTCATTCTGCAAACCTTGAGGATATTGCATCATATCACAAAATGGTGGGGATGAATTCTAGATTATGGCCAAGAGTGATCTGAGAAGTTTTGTGCTTGAAACAAAGAATGATGTGGTTTCTCCAACACCATGATCACATGTGTCAGCATTTTGTATGCCACAAAACAGCCCCATGTCATGTGAACTGTAGCCCTCTACTATATCTGAGAGCTGAGAGTGTAAAGGCTACATGCAAGTCATAAGGCTCATGTCGTGTGAACTGTAGCCTTCTACTATATCTAAGAGCTGAAGACTAGTGTAAAGGCTACATGCAAGTCATAAGGCCCACAACTTTTGTCAGCAGCCTGCCCATCAGCCTATGTTGCCTGACACAGTTGCCTTGTTCCAGATCGCAATGGGGCTGAATCTGCTGTGCTGGCAGGGTTTCTGGGAGTTGCAGTCCAAGAACACCTGAGTTGCCCAAGGTTGGGAGAACCACTGTACTAGAACAGTGGTCCCCAACCTTGGGCCTCCATATGTTCTTGGACTACAACTCCCAGAAGCCTTCACCACCACCTCTGCTGGCCTGGATTTCTGGGAGTTCAAGTCCGAGAGCACCTGAGTTACCTGAGGTTGGGAGGGCCACTGTACAAGAGGATGTATATGGAATTGGCATGGGTTGGAAACAGACTGATTTGTCCATTCTTTTAAAAGTACAGGAGGACACCCCCCCCCAGATACAATAGGGATTGGTTCCATAATATGTATATTGGAATATACCCTGTTTCTCTGAAAATAAGACCTAACCTGAAAATAAGCCCTAGTATGATTTTTCAGGATGCTTGTAAAATAAGCCCCAGTTAAGTGAAACCCTGCCTTCCACTATTGTGCAGCAGCCAGAAGAAGATGACGTGACTGTATTTGAATAAACATAGATTGTGCATGAAAAAGAATGAAAATAAGCCCTAATGTGTTTTTTGGAGCAAAAATTAATATAAGAACCTGTCTTATTTTCAGGGAAACGGGGTATATATATGGATTTTTCTTTTGATACTTTTAATATTTGCAGACCGCGGATAAGTGAATCAGAATTAGCAGATACTGATCCTGCAGATAAGGTGGCCCTACTGTATGTGTATGCTTACTTGAAATTACATGTTTCACCTTTGCCTCTTTTCTGCATAATCTGGTGTCATTGGTCCTAAGAGCCCCTCCAAGAATGGAGGCCTCACCCTGTCACTGAAACGTGAGGTGCTGCTCACGCCCCACTCAGGCCAAAGTCCACTCCGAGCCATAGAGCATTATGCAAAATGTACTACCTGTTATTCAAACTTTTCATGTAGTTGAAAGTTTCTGTGTACTTTTGGATAAACAAAGCTAGCCAGCAATTGCCCATCTTCCACAGAGGAAGTAAAAATTACTTCACCACCTCCCTAATCATGCTGGAATGCTGGGAGGCTAGGGTATTCTTGGGTATTAAAACAAACAGCTTTCCCCATGTCTGGTCATCCATTGATCTTTAGGGTGCAAATGAAAACCAATTTATATATTTTCTTCCCTACTTCCAGAATAAAGAACTGAAGTACAAAGTGGAATTCTACTCCAGCCAGTCAAAACCGAAGGTCTCAAAAGCTGTTTCAGCAAAGTAAGATTTTTTAACCCTCCCTCACTTCAGAAAGTTTTGAGTATGAGAAGAAACACAGGGAGTTGCTTTGTAGGGTCTTAGATCATCTTGCTCAGTGTCTTCATTCACAGCAGGAATTATTCAGGAATTATTCAGCCTTTTACAGCCCTAATTAGAGATGCTGAGAATGGAATCTTAGACTTTCTGCATACGAAACATGTGCTTATGATTCAGCTGCAGCACTTTTGCATATTTTCTGGGCCATGGCAGATTTTGCAGTGCAGTGGGACACCCCCCCCATCCACGAGATAAGTTCCACATATACCCCGCAGATGCTAAAAAAAACACTGATTATAGCAAATGCTATTATAATCGCAAATGCAATGCATAGGATGATCTCTGGCTCTCTCTAGTGGCCAGTTCTGGTAACTTCATTTTTGGAATATATATACAGTGGTGCCTCGCATAACGAGCGCACCGTTAAACAATGAATCCGCATTGCGATGCGGATTTCCCCATCGCTAATGCGAGGGCATGCTTGCATTACGACGGGGAAACAGGTGTTCGGTGGTTCCAAAATGGCCGCCGGGACACCCAAAATGGCCGCCAGAACACCAAAAATGGCCGCCAGGACACCCAAAATGGCCACCAGAACATGGGAAAGCATCGGAGAACAGTGAGTTTTGGACCCATTTGGAATGGATTAAATGAAGTTTAATGCGTTCCAATGTCCACATACACCCTGCAGATGTTAAAAAAACCCTGATTATAGCAAATGCTATTATAATCGCAAATGCAATGCATAGGATGGTCTCTGGCTCTCTCTAGTGGCCAGTTCTGGTAACTTCATTGTTGGAATATATATATTTATATATTGGGGATTTGTCTTTTAATGTTTTAATTATTTACAAACCATGGATAAGTGAATCAACAGATACTGATCCTGCAGATAAGGGGATCCTCTTGTATAGGTTGACGACTAGAGATCTTCCACTGCAGACCCTTCCACTGGGGACTCTTCAGTCAGAGTTGCCATTAAAACTTGGCAACGGCCAAAGGCCTAACTAGGCACCTCATTACAACTTCCTTGTAACATCGGTGGCTGAAGTGCTTGCATTACAGCACGGTGATGTCATGAAATCATGCCACACACCTCTGGGACTCGACTGGACATCTAGTTAGATCCTTAATATGAAGATCAAGAACAGTGCTGATCTCATGGAAGGTGCGGCAGAGCTATGGAGACTTTACCCGCGATGAGGCCAAAGCTCATAATAAGTACCTGTCCCTTATCATGTCAATCTCAATGTGCTTTTGCTGCCATATGGAAATATCCCCTCCCTTTGGTTACTGTAGGAGTTGAATTAACCCACAGGGCCAGGCTACAGGGAATACTGTATGTTTTATTTATATGAGCAACAAATACATTCGTTATCTACCGTCATTCAGGTCTCCGACCAAGGCACGGGTTGTGCTCATACATAATTAAAAAGCCATGCTGTGATTTATGCATTCTGTCTAAAACTTTGAAATGCTCAGGCTGGTCATGGTAGAACTCAGTCCCTTACATCAGTCCCAACTTTGAGTGTTCTTGGACTGCAATTCCCAGAAACCCCAGGCTAGCACAGCTGATGGTGAAGGTTTCTAGGTATTTCAGCCCAAGAATACCCGGTTACCCAAGGCTGAGAATCACTGCGTTAAATCAAAACCACCCCACAAACTGACGGTCTAGTACTTCCCAGGTGTTCATGCCCCCTTCCCCTTCTTTGAATGCTTTCCCAGTTTTTACACGGGTTCTGCCCTCTATTCTAAGAAGCCGAAATGCTGCTTCTAAGGTTTAATTAAGTAACATTAAGAGGTTTAAGCTACAATCATAATTTGGGTCCGACACTTTTGCCTTCGGCCCAACCTTTGGAATCTGGCCTCAAGAATTTCTCCAATTGAATTCGACTCTGGAGCTGAAAGAGGTTTCCACTTTTGATGTAGGCAACACTGAGCAAGAGGGACTAATGATGTGATACAATATACAGTGGTGCCTCGCATAGCGAGGTTAATCCATTCCGGATTAACCTTCGCTATGGGAAAACTTCGTTAAACGGAAAGTAAAAAGCCAAATCGACTGAACACTCACCATTTAGCGAAGTTTCCTGGGTCCGGCAGCCATTTTCGCACCCTCGGTAAGGGAGGGGAGGGCGCGAAAATGCTACGCGCCGCCATTTCAGGGCTTCCAGCGGCCATTTTGGAACTGCCGAACAGCTGATCCGCGGCGTCGCAAAGCGAAGATTGGTAAGCGAAACACTTACCGATCTTCACTATGCGAGTTTCGCCCATTGGGGCCGATGCAATCCCTCCACATTAGCGATCCCGGAAAAGGGATCACTATGCGGATTCGTCGCTATACGAGGCACTCGTTGTGCGAGGCACCACTGTACATAAGTGGTTCTGAAATGATTCCGAAGAACCTGAGGCACCTTGAAATCTAAGATTGGCATGAACCCAAATGGACAGTAGGCTACTTCATCAAATCCGTGAAGTCTTATCCAGAATTTCACATATATGCAGTTCATATGGCTGATGGTGAAATTATGTATGGTAGGAAGGCTCGAATAACCAGACAAGGCAAAAAGATTGATTGTGTGAATTGCATTATTAACACAGGAGACCGACAAAACATTTGCTAATAACACAAGCATTCTAGCATTAGTTAAGCAGATTAACATGTGTGGTGTGATATGAAACTGTTATCCCGAGTCAAACCTGTGGCGATAATGAACCTCTGGTGAACCTCTGGAACTTGTAGCGAAATCTTCCTATCGTATTTGCTCACATTTCAGTCTTTCAACTGCTCCACTCAAAAAACTCCAAAAGGCAGTGTAAAGATACCATTACTGTCCATTCTTTGCCAATGTATAAAAGTTCCTTGAAGTTATAACGCTAGGAGTTAGGCCTCTTGAATGTTATTTATGTATTTAATACATGTTTATACAGCTCCACCATAAACAATGAACAAACCACTCCCCCCCCAATCCTGAGCAAACAACAAACTCAAAAAATAGCATCATTAATTAAAACATAAGTAGTGGCAAACATCCCTCTGTAATAGAATTAAACTAGGGGTCAAGCTGCTACAGTGGACCCTCTACTTAAGGAATTAATCCGTATTGGAATGGTGGCTGCAAGTTGAAAAGTCTGTAAGTCGAATCTCCATTGACCTGCAATGCACTGAAAACCGATTAATCCCATAACCAGTGGTTTTTATTCTATCTTTATTCCATTTTGGGTTTTTTCTGGTCTGTAAGTCGATTCTCTGGCTGCAAGTCGAATCTAAATTTTGCAGCCAGAGAAGTCTGTAACTCGAAAAGTCTGTGAGTTGAGCTGTCTGTAAGTCGAGGGTCCACTGTACTTTAAAGAGGGAATATTCCTGAAGACCTCTTCAGACAAAGCCATTTTAAATAATTTCTTGAAAACCTAGAGGGAAAGGGCCTGATGTATCTCTGATGGGAGGCCAATGCAAAGTGAGGGGGTCACCACCGAGAAGGCCCGATTACTAGTCAAAGACTTCCTCACTTCTCTCTCGGTGTGGCCACCCACAACAAAAAAAAAATCTGGTTGTTAAACCTTGAAAAAACATGTACATGAGCAGCAGAAAGCACCTCTCCCATTCCCATATTTATTTATTTATTTTTATTTATTTATTCGATTTTTACCCCGCCCCTCTAGACAATGTCTACTCGGGGCGGCTTACATAGGTTAAAACACAGCAAGATAACATATATAAAATGCCATTATTACAATTAATTTTAAATTTTTAAACAATGCATTTCCAGTATTTCCATACAGTAGAAGTCAGTAGTGGTATGAGTACTTGAGGGTTTCTGAAAAACTGCTGTTGGGTGGAGATTATAATGGCCTGATGCTGCTTTCTCTATTCCATACAGTAAAAGTGAGTAGTGGTATGAGTACTTGAGGGTTTACGAAAAACTGCTGTTGGGTGGGGATTATAATGGCCTGATGCTGCTTTCTCTAGATACCAAAGACACTAAACAAAAGTGATAATCATCAAGTGTAATGAATAGGAATGGAGGTGTATTGTCAGTTTTAACCTATTATTACAGGACAATAGCTATTAACATAATTACATAAATTGATCAGGGCCTCTAGATATTGCTGGCTTTCAGTTCTGATTATCTTTCACTATTGACCAGGTAGTCAGAGTCCAACAAAATCTGGAGAGCTACATTCTGTTTCTGTTTTCAAAATTGACTAGGTCTATGTCTTTGGGTTCTGCCGTTTTGGTAAATCTCCATGAGCCATGCAGCAAAACGCTGCTGGCAAATCTTTGAAGTATGTTCTTCTCCCAGACTCTTTTGCACTGGCTTCTGTCCAACTCTTTGTCCTAACTAGAGGGGAATCAATGGGATTTACAAGTGTGGTCTTACCAATTAAATTTAGGCTGTTGTGTTGACATAAGTTTGCTCTTCTCAGTTAAATTGCATTTTAAAAAATAAATAAAAGCATGTTACTCATTGGTCATTGTCTCCTTTTTATTACAGGATAGATGGATATTTGCCATACGCCATGATAAATAGACTTCGCAGGTGAAGGATCCATATGAAGCAAGGACATTTTTCTATCCCTAACACAAAAATCCCATTCTTTGTTGGGTTCTTTTCAAAGACAAATCACTGACACAGTTTTGTTGTGAATGTTTTGAACAGAAAAATCCTTCAACCTCATATGTGGGCTTCTTAGCTCGTGGTAGGGCAGTTGGAAGCCCAAGATGACTTTCCAATGGAAGACGTGGTCCTATATGGAAGAAGACATTCAGATGCCAGGGACGTGGGAAGGGATGGCATCCTTTCTATTTATTTATGGAAACTTCTAGCACTGTGGATATTTTCTAACCAATTATGAGTTCACACTGCTGCCAGAACTGATTCATCCCTGGAGAACAGATTTCAGGCAGCTGGTTCTGTCCATGTAAAAGGACATATGGAAATGTAATGAAGCTGCAGTTGAGCCTAGAAAGTTACCTCAAATATGTGATACACAAAATGAAGCTGTAATAGACTAAGATGAAGGCTGATCTATCCAAATCGGACTTTAACTGGTTTAGTTGTCATTTCTTCTTTCCAGGGAATCCAAAGAAATGCACAATGCGGGACGGAAGGAAGTGTGTGTTCTTTTTGATTGTCTGCATATACACATCAGGGCTCTCTTAACAAAGAATTCCTATGAACAATAATCCCTAGGGTTTTTTGTGGGGAATCATGGCAGCTATAATAGTTTTATATCTGTTTTTTCAAAGTCAGAATTTGGGAGAATGGGGGATTCAGGGTGCTATATATATTTTAAACAGATTTTTCCCCAGTTGTGCAGATAGTCTTCCTGTACCAGTGCGTCCGTACTATAGACTGTGGCATACAGTGGTGCCTCACTTAACGATTGCCTCGCTTAACGATGAAATCACTTGATGATTTGGTTTAAACCAAAACGATGGTTTAAATGGGAAAAATCCGCTTCATGATGATTGGTTCCCTGCCTTGGGAAACAATTTTCGCATTACCACAATCTAAAAACAGCTGATCGTCGGGTTTCAAAATGGCCACCGGGTGTACAAAATGGCCCCCTGATGTTTTCTAGGACAGATTCCTTGCTTTACAGGCACCAAAAATGTCTGCCCTATGGAGGATCTTCGCTGGACAGTGAGTTTTCAGCCCATTGGAACACATTGAAGAGTTTTCAGTGTGTTTCAGTGGGCTTTTTTATTTCGCTTAACAAGGATTTCGTTCTACAGCGATTTCGCTGGAACGGATTATCCTCATTAAGTGAGGCAGCACTGTATTAACCACGGTGTTATTACAAAGAGGGTTGGGCCAAGTGAGCATAGGAAAGCAGTGTACAGAATCCAGAAATAAGATATTCCTGTGTCTCACTGGTCAAAAATATCCTGTTGTTTGGCCTAGTTTGAAGAGACACTGGTTCAGCAGGCCAAGGCAAAGAGGGAGTCCCAAAACCAGCCAAATCATGGAGCTGGACAGGGGAGAGATTGTATTTGTCTTCGGTGTGGAATGGATTGTCACTCTCGTATTGGCCTCCTCAGCCATACTAGATACTGTTCCAAGACCTCTATTCAGAGCACGTTACTATAGTCTCTCAAGACTGAAGGATGCCTAATCTAATAAAGGCTAATTTCTTTCTGTATCTAAGGTATTTTACTGTCCTCTTTCATAAACTCCCAGAGCAGTTTACAAAAAGAATCAAGCAACCAGAACATAAATGCAAAAATTAAAGTGAAGTAAAAGTTGGAAATTTATGAAAAGCAATGTAAAATGGTCCACACCATGAATGTTGCTGTTGTAAAGCTCAGGAAAATAACTCCTTGCTTGTTCCTTAAAGGACAATAAAACAGGCTTAACTGCCTGGCTGCACTTGACAAGACTTACAACATGCTTAAATCTGGCTGGCTCGTTCTGAGGTTTCTCACATTCTAGCTGAAACACTTTCTGGTTCATTGTTTGTTCAAACAAGGAGATTATAACAAACCAGTATAGCCAAGCAAGTAAGATTGGAAAACCTCAACTAAGGAATCACTAAGAAGTGGTTGTGGGGAAGGCACTACCTCTCAATCACAGCCTTCACACTGCGATGTAGAGATAATATAATTTGGCTAGGATTACATGGCTATTGTCCATGGCAGGAGTTCATTTCTGCTGTGTCTCTCCTGGAAGAACAGCCACTGTGTGCTCCAGAGCATCCCCAGAAGACGGGACTGGTAAACCACTTCAGAGTACTCTACAGCAAGGAAACCTTAGTGAGGGTCACCCTGTGTTGGAATCAATCCAACCATAAGTTGGATTCTAGTAATCAATTGCTATTATTATTACTAGCCTACATACCAGGCCTCAACTCTCATTAGGAGCTGGAACAACCAAACTGAGGCTATTGTAGATGTATCACGAGAAGACTCGACTCACTGGAAAAGACAATAATGCTGGGAAAAGTTGAAGGCCATAGGAAAAGAGGAAGACCGAATGTGAGACAGATTTGCTCAATAAAAGGAATTTGCAAGACCTGAGCATGGTGGTTAAAAAGCTCAAGAATAAGATGTTTTGAAGTCATTACTTCATAGGGAGGTCATAGGTCTGAAACAGGTCATAACAATGCTTAGGTGTTGTGAATGAAGTCTGTGAGCTGCCTTTAGTAATTTAGTAATTAAGTGACCAGTCAGATAAGAGTAGGAGATTGTGAATGCCAATTTAACTGCAAAAAAGCCTCCAGTGTTGGGTGAATTTCAGTGGAAGTTACATAGGCAGGGTTACTCTCAAGATTTCCTAAGATTGAGGGGGAAAGAATTAGAACAGAATAAGAATTGCTTTTGAAGTGAAAGGGAAAAGCAGAATGCCTATTCTAGAAGGAGCTGGCTTTCAGCAAAGAGTTTATTGCTGAAAAAAACTCAATTAGGCTCAATTGTGTCTGAACTGCCTGAGAGTTAATACTGTATGACTAAAACCTTACATCTATTGGGTAATAAGTTCTGTGCCTAAAAATAGAGAAACCATAAAACTTCAACCCTGGAGGAATGTTTTAACAATAAATTAACTGCCAGGTTTCAGATATTGCTTCAGTTGATGTTTCTACCAAAACCAAGGGATATCTAATTTAGAAATCTCTAAAGGATTAAAGGTGATCAACCATCATTTGAATGGTGTGCTCCCACTAGTATAGTTAGTAGGAACAATAACGTATAATACAGGAGGGGATGAATTTTGGTCAACTTTGCTTTCTGTCAAGCCACCATCCTTCTGTCTTCAGGGAGGGAGCATCACAGAATCTATTACTAGAGGCACCTGAGCTTCAGACTTTCAGTATGATCAGCTCTAGAAGGCAAAGTCAGTGGGGATGAACTACAGCAGTACCTCGCAAGACAACGACCCCGCTAAACCAGTGGGGATGAACTAAGACAACGACCCCGCTAAACGACAAATCCGCATAATGATGACTTTTTGCGATCGCTATAGCGATTAGCAAAACAGTCATTCCTATGGGGAATTTTCGCTGGGCGTCGATTAGGTCCATGCTTTGCGAACCATTGAGTCGATTAGGTCCATGCTTTGCGAACCATTTGTTCGCAAGACAACGATTTTTTTGGCTCCGCAAAATGGCTGTCCTGTGTTTTCCGGACCCATGCTTCGCAAGGCAGCTATTTTTACAGCTGATTGGTGCTCGCAAAATGGCTTCCCTGTGGGCAATCTTCGCTGGACGATGAGGCATTTTCCCCATTGGAACGCATTAAACCGGGTTTCAGTGCATTCCAATGGGGAAAGGGTTTTCGCATGACAACGATTTCGCTAAACAGCGATTTTCACGGGATGGATTATCATCGTCATGCAGGGCACCACTGTATAGGAGCTGCATGCCAAAACCACTGAAGGCCACATTTGACAATCCAAGGCCTACAATGTTTCTAACTAACTAAAGAGAGGTTTGAGAAAAGTGCCAAATATGGGTGTTCTCTGGCACAGCTAGTATGTTCCATAGGTCTTATGCAAGAGGTGGGGCAGGAACTGTTCTTCATCATCCCAGAGTTCAGGACACATAATAATAACAGTTTCAAGCTACAGGAGACCAGATTTAGGCAGAATATCAGAAAAAACTTCTTAACTGTTAGAGCAGTACGACAATGGAACCCATGACCCTAGGAGGTGGTGAGCGCTTCAGTTCTGGAGGCGTTCAAAAGAAAATTGGACAACCCTCAGTCAGATCTGTTTTGATTTGGGTTCCTGCCTTGAGCAGGGGGTTGGGCTTGATGACCTTACAAGCGCCTTCCAACTCAATTATTCTATGATTCTAAGGTGGTTCATTCTGAGAATTGGGAAATATAAAAGACAGACTTGGAGAATGACAGGCATCAGTTTGGGATGCCAGGTAAAGGAAAAAGGAAATTTAAGGTAGCTTTAATAGGTGAAGGGAAACCTTGGACAAAGAGTAATGCCACTCTATGAATGATTCGTGGTATCATTCATACCACAAGTAAGTCTGAGCATGCTTTTGTCCCCCAGAAGTGCTTCTACTGGCCAGGTCTTATCATAACTAACTCCATGATTGTCGATTATTATCAATTCTATTACCTATTCTTAACAAGTATCCCTTTAAAGGTGTCGTCCGAGAGTGACCAAAATATAGGTTTTTCTGTGTGTGGAGAGGCTTACAGTGCGTTCCCCTGGGTGGCTGGTATTTCCCACATTCCTTTGACTGATATTATATGAAAAACTAAAGTTGTTTTCAGCTGCCAGCAGGAGGAGAATCTTGAAACTGAAGGCAGCAATGAACGAAGGCAAGCAGGAAGAATTTTATCTCTTGCCCTTCACCCTCCAAATTGCTAATAAATGGGTTTTACAGGACTTTTGCCTCAAGCAGCAACTTGTTGATTAGTCGCAATTGGCGTCTGAGATTTGCACTATTGCACTTAAGGTAACCAGTAAGATTCTGGCCAGCTAATATTAAATACCATGAGCAGCTTGGGTAGACAAAGCCAAATCAACTGTATAATGCAATGTGTTTACCTGCAGTCATTGGATGGAAGGGTTACTAGCCCCAAGTTGTACAAGGCTGCTCTGCTCCAATTCATATTATGTTGCTCCATTGAATCTATGAAATTGCTTCTCGGCAATGGGGCAGTTCGTTATGTAGCAAGAGTCTGATTGAAATTACAAGCTGCAAAGCCTTGATGGCTTTGGGTTAAAACCTCAAAATCATTTCCTCTCCTCCACAGTGCACGACTGAGTGCTCTCCTTTGTGAAAACCTCTGTGGTTTTTGGTTGCCTAAATGGAGGTTTAACAAAAGCATTGAAGCTGGCATAAAAGATCCAGATGGTGAAAGCTGGATTCAGAGGTGCTTAAAAGCAGTGAAACTTTTGACTGTTGTTGTTATGTGCCATCAAGACAGAACAGATTTATATTGACCCTGATAGAGCTTTCAAGGTAAGTGAGATATTTAGGGGGTGGCTTTAACAGTTCCACATCCCCAGTGAATTTCCATGGGGGAGTGGGGATTCAAACCCAGGCCTCCTGAGTCGTACGACATCACTCTATCCACTACGCCACATTGGGCATCCAGTGAAAACTTTATTCACAACTAAGAATCAGTGAGACTTTATTTATTCATAGCTTCCTTATGTTCCATTGATTTCAATGAGTCTGTTGTAAATCTGACTAAATTTCCATCTGGTCCATACTTTGTATTTGTGATTTGGAGCTCGATATAATACCTTCTTCTGTTTTTAATTTGATTTGAAGGGGGCAATTGTTTGGATTGGTTCTTGGAGAGTGGATGTTTAACCTCTTCCACCTCCTTTGTAGCATTTTCCCAACCCAAATCTAACATATTATTTCAAAGAAGTCCATAGGCTTTCAGAAACCTAAATAAATAAATACATAAATAGGATGCTACAAATGTTAAAAAATACTCTGTTCTTCTGAAGCTTTGGAAACACAACCATTATTAAAGATTTACAAGCAACTCTCCCACACACTTCCTTATGACTTATTTAGTATTCCCAGCATGAAACTTGCTGAACTATCCCCAGGAATTAGAAATGTGGCAAATTATAACATCAAATGGCATTGGGGGCCTGCCAT